TGGACTGGTGGGGTACATCTGGGTGTTAGTGGACTGTGTGGGCACATCCTGGGTGTTAGTGGACTGGTGTGGGTCACATCCTGGGTGTTAGGGGACTGGTGTGGGTCACATCCTGGGTGTTAGTGGACTGGGTGTGGGTCACATCCTGGGTGTTAGTGGACTGGTGTGTGTCACACCCTGGGTGTTAGTGGACTGGTGTGGGTACATCCTGGGTGTTAGTGGACTGGGGGTGGGTCACATCCTGGGTGTTTAGTGGGACTGGTGTGGGTCACATCCTGGTGTTAGTTGGACTGGTGTGGGTCACATCCGGGGGTTTTGTTAGTGGACTGGTGTGGGTCACATCCTGGGTGTTAGTGGACGGGTGTGGGTCAAAATCCTGGGTGTTAGTGGACTGGTGTGGGTCACACCCGGGTGTTAGTGGACTGGTGTGGGTCACATCCTGGGTGTTAGTGGACTGGTGTGGGTCACATCCTGGGTGTTAGTGGACTGGTGTGGGTCACATCCTGGGTGTTAGTGGACTGGTGTGGGTCACATCCTGGGTGTTAGTGGACTGGTGTGGGTCACATCCGGGGTGTTAGTGGACTGGTGTGGGTCACATCCTGGGTGTTAGTGGACTGGTGTGGGTCACATCCTGGGTGTTAGTGGACTGGTGGGGTCCACATCCTGGGTGTTAGTGGACTGGTGTGGGTCAAAATCCTGGGTGTTAGTGGACTGGTGTGGGTCACATCCTGGGTGTTAAAGTGGACTGGTGTGGGTCACATCCTGGGTGTTAGTGGACTGGTGTGGGTCACACCCTGGGTGTTAGTGGACTGGTGTGGGTCACATCCTGGGTGTTAGTGGACTGGTGTGGGTCACATCCTGGGTGTTAGTGGACGGGGTGTGGGTCACACCCTGGGTGTTAGTGGACTGGTGTGGGTCACATCCTGGGTGTTAGTGGACTGGTGTGGGTCACATCCTGGGTGTTAGTGGACTGGTGTGGGTCACATCCTGGGACAAAACTGACATAATTTGCAGGAAATACTCAGCATAACAAGGTACTTTCTATATAGCAGTATGTCATGGGTGTCAACTATGGTCTGTATACCTTGTACCTTATACTTGTACATGTATACCTTGTACCTGAAATCCCTTTGTACTGTATCCCTTGTACATGTTACCTTGTACATGTATCCCTTGTACATGTATACCTTGTACATGTATACCTTGTACATGTATACCTTGTACATGTATACCTTGTACATGTATACCTTGTACATGTATACCTTGTACATGTATACCTTGTACATGTACTTGTGGAAATAAAGATCTTGTTATTGTTAGACCTGCCTAGCATGGGCCAGTAGACACAACCTTCACCCCCTTCTAAAAATTCTAGCTTAGCTCCCCACCTTAACCTCCCTTGATGAGGGGGAGAATTTTTACCTCAACGAGAAGCAATTTCTCCCTGAGAGAACGTCTTCCCCGGTGAGGGAGAGAACTGTCTTCCTCAGTGAGGGAGAGAACGGTCTTCCTCGGTGAGGGAGAGAACGGTCTTCCCGGCGAGGGTGAGAACGGTCTTCCTCAGTGAGGGTGAGAACGGTCTTCCTCGGTGAGGGAGAGAACGGTCTTCCTCGGTGAGGGAGAGAACGGTCTTCCTCGGTGAGGGAGAGAATGGTCTTCCTCGGTGAGGGAGAGAACGGTCTTCCTCGGTGAGGGAGAGAATGGTCTTCCTCGGTGGGGAGAGAATGGTCTTCCTCGGGTGGGAGAGAACGGTTCTTCCTCGGTGAGGGAGAGAACAGTCTTCCTCGGTGAGGGAGAGAACTCTCCTTCAACTAGGAAGAAATTCTCCCTCAGTGAATTAGACAATCATCTCCCTCTGAGATAGTTCTTTCTCCCTCACAAAGGAGTGAGAATCATCTCCCTACGATGGAAGTGTGAATTGTCTCCCTTAATGAGGGGAAGAATCATCGCCTTTAGGGAGAGAACATCTCCCCCAGGGTAGTAAGTCACCCTCCACCAATGAGGGAGATGATACTCTCCCTCAAAGTGGGAAAGAACTATCTCCCTTGTGAGGGTGGGGGTTACTTCACTCAACTGAAGGAATATTCTCTGAGGGAGAATACTGCTTCCCAAATCCATCAATCTCTAAATCTCCCTCAATGAGCCTACCCAAAGGACCTCTCTCTCCCTTTTTTCACCAAACCAAGCCATTAAATCCTCCCTGGAAAGTAGGAACTCACATGAGGAGACAAAGTCCAGGGAACAACCTAAGTCAACCTCAGGGATGACAACCACCAGGGAGAAACGAACAACCACAGGGGGATAACTGAGACAACCACAGGGGGATAAGCTCAGGGAGAAACCTAATAATTTAGAATTTCAGGGGGTTAACCTAATGGGGGAAATTTGGAGACAATGTCGGGGGAAACCTGACTACCTTAGGAAACCACCTGGGGAACTAATAGGAAACAACCTGGGAGATTACCTGGGGGGATTACCCGGGACCAACCGGGAGGACAATATTAGGGAGACCACCTAGGGAGACAATATTAGGGGAACACCGGGGAGACAAATCAGGGGAACCCACCTGGGGGGAACAATATCAGGGAGACCACCTGGGGAGACAATATCAGGAGACACCTGGGGGGGACAATATAGGGGAGACCACCTGGGGGACATATTGGGAACACCTGGGGAGACAATATTAGGGAGACCACCTGGGAGACAATATCAGGGAGACCACCTGGGAGACAATATTTAGGGAACCACCTGGGGAGACAATATTAGGGAGACCACCTGGGGAGACAATATCAGGGAGACCACCTGGGGAGACAATATCAGGGAGACCACCTGGGGAGACAATATTAGGGAGACCACCTGGGGAGACAATATCAGGGAGACCACCTGGGGAGACAATTTAGGGAGCACCTGGGAGACATATTGGGAGACCACTGGGGAGACTATCAGGGAGACCACCTGGGGAGACAATATCAGGGAGACCACCTGGGGAGACAATATCAGGGAGACCACCTGGGGAGACAATATAGGGAGACCACCTGGGGAGACAATATTAGGGAGACCACCTGGGGAGACAATATCAGGGAACACTGGGAGACTATAGGGAGACCACCTGGGAGACAATATAGGGAGACCACCTGGGAGACAATATCAGGGAACCACCTGGGGAGGACAATATTAGGGAGACCACCTGGGGAGACAATATCAGGGAAACCACCTGGGGAGACAATATTAGGGAGACCACCTGGGGAGACAATATCAGGGAAACCACCTGGGGAGACAATATTAGGGAGACCACCTGGGGAGACAACATCAGGGAGACCACCTGGGGAGACAACATCAGGGAGACCACCTGGGGAGACAACATCAGGGAGACCACCTGGGGAGACAATATTAGACAGACCACTTGGGGGGAGAATATTAGGGAGACCACCTGAAGGAGATACCAAGGAGACAACTTGAGGGAGACAACTTAGGGAAGACCACCTAAAGGGAGAACTTGTGGGAGACAAGTTGGGAGACACCTAAGGAGACAACTTCAGGGAGACAACCTTAGGGAGCCAACTAGGGAGACAACCTAAGGGAGCAACTATGGGAGACAACTAAGGGAGACAACCCAGGGAGACAACCAAGGGAGACAACCCAAGGGAGACAACCCAAGGGAGACAACCCAAGGGAGACAACCCAAGGGAGACAACCCAAGGGGGACAACCCAAGGGAGACAACCCAAGGGAGACAACTCAAGGGAGACAACCAAGGGAGACAACCCAAGGGAGACAACCAAGGGAGACAACCTAAGGGAGACAACCCAAGGGAGACAACCTAAGGGAGGACCAACCTTAAGGGAGACAACTTGGGAGACAACCTAAGGGAGGAACAACCTAAGGAACAAACCTAAGGGGAGACAACCTAAGGGAGACAACCAAGGGAGACTAACCCAAGGGAGACAACCAAGGGAGACAACCCAAGGGAGACAACCCAAGGGAGACAACCCAAGGGAGACAACCCAAGGGAGACAACCCAAGGGGGACAACCCAAGGGGACAACCAAGGGAGACAACCCAAGGAGAGGGACAACCCAAGGGGGACAACCCAAGGGGAAACCCAAGGGGGACAACCAAGGGGAGACAACCAAGGAGGGACAACCAAGGGAGACAACCAAGGGGAGACAACCCAAGGAGACAACCCAAGGAACAACCAAGGGAGACAACCCAAGGGAGACAACCCAAGGGGGACAACCCAAGGGAGGACAACCCAAGGGAGACAACCCAAGGGAGACAACCCAAGGGAGACAACCCAAGGGAGACAACCCAAGGGGACAACCCAATGGGAGAACCAACCCAAGGGAGACAACCCAAGGGAGACAACCCAAGGGAGACAACCCAAGGGAGACAACCAAGGGGACAACCTAAGGGGGACAACCTAAGGGAGACAACCCAAGGGAGACAACCCAAGGGAGACAACCTAAGGGAGACAACCAAGAGACAACCAAGGGGACAACCCAAGGGGACAACCCAAGGGAGACAACCCAAGGGAGACAACCCAAGGGAGAAAACCCAAGGGAGAAAACCCAAGGGGGACAACCCAAGGGGGACAACCCAAGGGAGACAACCCAAGGGAGACAACCCAAGGGAGATAACCCAAGGGAGACAACCCAAGGGGGACAACTTGTGGGAGACAACCTAAGGGAGAGAAACTAAGGGAGAGAAACTAAGGGAGACAACCTAAGGGAGATAAACTAAGAGAAACTAAGGGAGATAAACTAAGGGAGACAACCTAAGGGAGAGAAACTAAGGGAGACAACCTAAGGGAGATAAACTAAGGGAGACAACTTAAGGGAGATAAACTAAGGGAGATAAACTAAGGGAGACAAACTAAGGGAGATAAACTAAGGGAGATAAACTAAGGGAGACAAACTAAGGGAGAGTATGTGTCTTTGTCTGCCCCCCCCCAGGGAGACCAGCCCCCTCCCCCCGCCCAACAAGGGAGAGTAAACAGACTTACCAAGCTCCCTGAAGACCTCGGATCAACACCTCCCTCAAAACATCGAAAAAAATAAAAAAAAAACACGAAATAACCCTCTTAAGGGAGATTATCAACACGAGGTTAAGCTCTATCTCCCGGGGCTTAACATAGTATCTCTCACTTAACACTGGTTAAATTGTCTGTAGTGAGCGCTTAAGCGCTCACTGGTACACTTAATTAAGGGGAAAATTAGATTAATTAAGTCTTGTCACTTGAAGCTTCTCCCTCACAAACGCTCAAATTCCAGCGGCTTTTTCCTCAGTTTTGAGGCTTTGTGGGCGCGTGGGCGGTCATCTGAGGCGCTGAGGATGGGCGTGAGGGTAGTGGGCGTGGGCGTGGGCGTGGGTGGGGCACATAGGGGCGGCCCTGGAGGGCTGAGGAGGGAGTAAAGATGAAGTAACTCAGACAGACACAACCTCCGCCGCCATCTTGGTCTCACCATAACACTCCACGGGGGCCACACGCACGGACTCCCTTATTTAACACTATATTACAACTTTTTAACAGGTTTTAACATTGTTTAGTAAGTTTAACATGTTCTATGTGGCTCTCTGAGTGTCTTGGTGTCTTATACATCTTCTCTACCGTGTATGGAGGCTGTAAAAGTCACTGCTAGATTGTAGCTTTCTCCGCTATTATTGAACTTTTAACAGGTTTTAACATTGTTTAACAGATTTAACATATTCTATGTGTGTCTATGATTGTGTTGGTTTATTATAGACCTTCTCTACCGCGTACGGAGGCTGTAAAAGTCACTGCTAGATTGTAGCTTTCTCCGCTATTATTGAAACTTTTAACAGGTTTTAACCTTGGTTAATAAGTTTAACATATTTTATATATGTCTCTGAGATATATTAACACATTATAGATTTTCTCCAGCGTGTACGGAGGCTGCAAAAGTCACTGCTAGATTGTAGCATCCTCCGCTATTATTGAACTTTTAACATGTTTTAACATTGTTTAGTAATTTTAACATATTCTATGTGTCTCTCTGAGTGTGTTAATATGTTATATACCTTCTCTACCGTGTATGGAGGCTGCAAAGCTCTCCGCTAGATTTTAACTATTTCCGCTATTATAGAACTTTTAACATGTTTTAACATTGCGTAACAACTTTAATATATTCTATGTGTGTCTATGAGTGTGTTGATATGTTATATATCTTCTCTAGCGTGTACGGAGGCTGCAAAACTGTCCGCTAGATTGTAGCTTTCTCCGCTATTATTGCGCTTTAAAATGTTTTAACATTGTTTAACAAGTTTAACATATTCTATGCATGTTTCTGAGCCATATTAACATGTTATACACCTTCTCTAGCGTGTACGGAGGCTGCAAAAGTACCCGCTAGATTCTAACTATTCCCGCTATTATTGCAATTTTAAAATGTTTTAACATTGGTTAATAACTTTAACATATTTTGTGTATGTCTCTGAGGTATATTAACACATTATAGATCTTCTCTACCGTGTACGGAGGCTGAAAAAGTCAATGCTAGATTGTAGCTCTTTCCGCTATTATTGAACTTTTAACATGTTTTAACATTGTTTAACAACTTTAACATATTCTATGTATGTCTCTAAATCATATTAATACATTATAAATCTTCTCTAGCGTGTAAGGAGGCTACAAAACTGTACGCTAGATTCTAACTTTTCCCGCTATTATTAAACTTTTAACATGTTTTAACATTGGTTAACAAGTTTAACATATTTTGTGTATGTGTCTGAGGAATATTAACACATTATAGATCTTCTGTAGTAGAGAGGCTGCAAAAGCGTCCGCTAGATTCTAACTATTCTTGCTACTATTGATCTTTTATCAGGTTTTAACACTATTTAACAAGTTTTAACATATTTAACAACTTTAGGGCGCCTTATAGGTCTATCTAAGTCATATGTTCACATTACAACCTTGTCTAGTATGCACTAAGCCTCTAAATGTGTCTGCTAGATTCAAACAATTCCGCATTTTTAAATTTTTAACCCTTTTTTAACATTATTTAACAACTTTAAACACATTTTATGTAGCTTTGACTTATATTATAACATGACAAACTTGCTAGTGGGTACAAAGCTTCAGATGTGTCTGTAATTCTAACTTTCCCGCTACATATATGTTTCTGGGTCATTTAAACATATTTCCCAATACAACACACAATATATGTCTATCTAACTTCTTACCACTTTTTAACCTCGTCAATTACTACAAAGATTCTAGAAGGTCTGCTAATTCTAATATTCCCGCTACTTTAAGCTTTACAGTATTTAACAATCTTAACACACTTTATGCCTTTTTTAATGTAATTTAATGTATTTTAGTTTTAAAACTGTCTAGTAAGTACAAAGCTTCAAAAAGAAGTTATTGCTAATTCAGCTATTGCCGCTCACTGAAGAATATATCCCGTTTACAATTATAATTAATTATATATAATTTTATACTTATATTTTAATTAAAAAATTCTAAGTCACTCACTATATTATTAATTATTTAAAACTCTATAGCTCAAAACTACAAAAATTTCTGCTAGTTTTTTTTACTTTTTCCCGTATTGATATTTTTGACAATTTTTTCATTATTCCTTATATTAAGACATTTTTAACATTCTAAAGGAATAATAAAATATTACATCTGGGGGGCCTTTTCACTTTGCAATCAACACATCACGGGAGCTTCCATGTTGGAAATATGAGTAGGAAGCCCGGGTTGGCAGACAACAACCACCCTTAGTCTACAGTATATAACCCCTTTGTTCGCTTATATTATTTTTTCGGATGAGGCTGATTCCCTTATTCTCCTTCGACCTTAACCATTCTTCTCTGTTTTGGGACTGATAAGTCTTGTGGTAATCGTTTCCTCATAAAGTCACCCAAGAGTTTAATGGGTCAATTTATAAACTTAGGGGTTATCTCAATTATATATATTATGCTGTACTACATAAGCAGACATTGAGGGATTACCAAAGTCCCTGGTGTCTTCAAGACTCCTGGGTTTTTTTCAAGACTCCGGTTGTCTTTAAGACTCCTGGTTGTCTTAAGACTCCCGGTTGTCTTCAACCCCCGGGGTTTTCTTCAAACTCCTGGTTTCTTCAAACTCCTGGTTGTCTTCAAGCCCCCGGTTGTCTTTAAGACCCCTGGTTGTCTTCAAGACTCCTGGTTTCTTCAAGACTCCTGTTGTCTTCAAAACCCCGGTTTTCTTCAAGACCCGGTTGTCTTCAAGACTCCTGGTTGTCTTAAAAACTCCCGGTTTTTCTTCAAAACCCCTGGTTGTCTTCAAGACTCCTGGTTGTCTTCAAGACCCCTGGTGTCTTCAAGACCCCCGGTTGCTTCAAGATCCTGGTTGTCTCAAGACCCCTGGTTTTTTTTCTTCAAGACTCCTGGTTGTCTTTAAAGACTCCCGGTTTCTTTAGACTCCTGGTTGTCCTTTAAGACCCCCGGTTGTCTTAAGACTCCCGGCTGTTTCAAGACTCCTGTTGTCTTCAAAACCCCCGGTTGTCTTCAAAACCCTGGTTGTCTTCAAGACTCCTGGTTTCTTCAAGACTCCGGTTGTCTTTAAAACCCCGGTTGCTTCAAGACTCCGGTTTTCTTTAAGACCCCGGTTGTCTTCAAGATCCTGGTTGTCTTCAAGACCCCGGGTTTCTTCAAATCCCGGGTCTTTAAAACTCCCGGGGTTTTTTTTCAAGACTCCTGGTTTTCTTCAAGACTCCCGGGTTTTTTCAAAGACCCATGGTTGTCTTCAAGACCTGGTTGTCTTTTAAGACCCCGGGGTTTCAAGACTCCTGGTTGTTTCAAGCTCCTGTTTCTTCAAGACTCTGGTTGTCTTTAAAACCCTGGTTGTCTTCAAGACCCGGTTTCTTCAAGACCCCTGGTTTTCTCAAGACTCCCGGTTGTCTTCAAGCCCCCGGTTGTCTTCAAGACTCCTGGTTTCTTCAAGACTCCTGTTGTCTTCAAGACCCCCGGTTGTCTTCAAGATCCTGGTTGCTTTAAGATCCTGTTTCTTTAAGACTCCTGGTTTCTTCAAGACCTCTGGTTGTCTTCAAGACTCCTGGTTGTCTTCAAGACCCTGTTTTCTTTAAGACTCCTGGTTGCTTCAAGACCCCGGTTTCTTTAAAACCGGTTTTTCTTCAAGACTCCTGGTTGTCTTCAAGACTCCTGTTGTCTTCAAGACCCCTGGTTTCTTCAAGACCCCCGGGTTTTCTTCAAGACCCCTGGGTTTTCTTCAAGATCCTGGGTTTTCTTCAAACCCCGGTTGTCTTCAAAACTCCTGGTTGCTTTTAAAACTCCCGGTTGTCTTCAAGACCCCCGGTGTCTTCAAGACCCCTGGTTGTCTTCAAGACCCCTGGTTGCTTCAAAATCCTGGGTTTTCCCAAGACTCCCCGGTTGTCTTCAAGACCCCCGGCTGTCTTTAAGACCCCTGGGTGTCTTTAAGCCCCTGGCTGCTTCAAACCCTGGTTTTCTTCAAGACCCCTGGTTTTCTTCAAAACCCTGGCTGTCTTCAAGATCCCTGGCTGTCTTCAAGACCCCTGGCTGTCTTCAAGACCCCTGGCTGTCTTCAAGACCCCTGGCTGTCTTCAAGATCCCTGGCTGTCTTCAAGAGGGAGCTGGACAGGCACCCACAGTCAGTACCTGACCAGCCGGGCTGCGGTTCGTACATCGGGTTGCGTGCGGCCAATAGTAACAGCCTGGTTGATTAGGCCCTAATCCACCATGGTCTGGTCACAGACCTGGCCGCGGGGGCGTTGACCCCCGAAAACCCTCCACAGGTAACTTATACAGACAATAGCTGACATCAATGACATACTACTATATAGAAAGTCCCTTGTTATGCTGAGTATTTCCCGAAATTAGGTCAATTTTGTCCCCAGGATGCGACCCACACCAGTCCACTAAAACCCAGGTACCTACTTACGGCTAGGTGAATAGTGACAGCAGGTGCAAAGTAACACCCAGGTACCTACTTACTGCTAGGTGAACATGGACAGCAGATGTCCTAAGGAAACACGTCCTAGTGTTTTCCAGCAGTACCGGAGATCGAACCACGGACATCAATGTGTGAGTTTTTGCACCTGCAAGAACTAATGCATCTTAACCCAGGTCCTGGACCCAGGTTTTAGACCCAGGTCCTAAACCCAGGTCCTGGACCCAGGTTTTAGACCCAGGTCCTAAACCCGGGTCGTGGACACAGGTTTTAGACCCAGGTTTAAGACCCAGGACATGGACCCACGGCCTGGTCATTCTAACATAGTTACACCAAACATTATAGCTGCATAAAACCGTTTTCTGTGAATAGTGATATTAAACTGGTTTTCTGTGTTATTTCAATGGTAAACTGAAAAAGATATGTAGTAATATATGCTGAGCTATACTGGGTTATACTGGGCTAAAACATAGTGATATACACCTCTCAGTGTATATACACTGAGATATACACCTCTCAGTGTATATACACTGTGATATA